GTTAGATTATATTCCTAACAGAACCTATCCTTCCATCCCCCACCATCCAGTCTCAATAGTCAGTACCTATCCTTCCATCCCCCGCCATCAGAACTGATGAAGCCTTTTGGAGAGGCGAAATATTTACTACTTTTTCCTCAAAAAACAAAAAACAACAACAATCCAATTGCCTTTTGAAAAACCGCCTTTGAGGCTGGGGAAAAAATGATACGGCTAAATAAATGTTTGTGGTACTTCTAAGCAATGAAAAAGCATGTTCATGTAATCATAACCCAAGAATCAAAATTAAAGGAAGACAATTTTGGTTAATGGAATTGTAATACTTTATTTTGTGAATTGTAACCCCTAAAATTATTATTATACTACAAATCCAAGCATTTCTCAACCAGTGGGTCCGTTCAAAATTTTGTAAGCATGTCATGGGCATAAATGATTGGTTTAAGGGAATATAATAACTCACCAGAGGGAAAACTAATGAGTTTCTCTCAAATTTGCTATCTCAACATTTTCTCTAGGCAGATGAGCATATTTCCAAATGGTTGCAGTCCAATCCCCCTCCGTCCTCCCCATATTTTTATTCTCTAAGAATGCTTAGAGAGAGGTGCCTTTGGCTTTAAAAAGTAGGAATCGGGGGGGGGGAAGCTTCTGACAATCGTGTGGCTCATCAAAATCTTTTGAAGCTTTTTTTTTACTACTGGTTCGCAGAACCAGTGGCAATCGTCCCTACCAGTTTGGCCAAACTGGGCCAAACTGGGAGGATTTCACTCCTGCCTAGTGCCATATAGTTCTTACATTTTGAACTGAAAATTGCTAATGTAAGTACAAAGGTAGCATCCCTGAGGGGTGGATGAAGACAAAAATCCAGCACTGGCCTAATCTGCCACTTGTAATAAGTAGGAAGAGCAGAAGCTTTTGCATTGCTCAAATGATGTACACATTTAGCTATTATCATACCCAGTGACCCTGATCTCCCTTTCCACCAATCAGCTTGTTGACCTAAAGTCATAAACAGACTTATATCTGGATTTTTTCCCCCCAAGTACTGACTAAGATGCTTCAGTTCACTTCTTTCCAGTATTTTGTGGTCTTGGTGTTTAGTATTACCACTGCCTATAAAGATAGGCAACCTTTCAGCCCTCCTTCAAAAATCAGTTTCCAAGCCTCACTGATTGCTAAGAGGAACCTCTTTTTCTGTATTTGTTGGGTTTTTCCCAGGGGCGAGCTGCTACGCATTTGCCCAAGTTCAGGAGAACCTGTAGCTAATGTTATGGCTGGTTTGGAGAACCTCCAAATCCCACGCCTGGCTGGCCCGGCCCACCACGCCCCATTCCTGCCACCCCACTATGTCCCTGCCAGGAGTCTCCACGTGGCCCGTTTTGGATGTGAGGTAAGTGCAGAGGCTTGGAGAAGGGGCAAAAAACTGGCCTTCTGGAAGACCTCCAGAGCCTGGGGGCAGTTTTTGCCCTTCCAGTGGCTCAAGGAAAGCCTTCGGAACCTGGGGAAGGTGAAACCCCCCTCACCCCCGGCCCTCATGCAGGAGGCTGACTAGGCCCTGTCCACCATGGCCCCGCCCACCCAGCCACTGAGCAGAGAACCCATTGCTGAAATTTTTGAAGCCCATCCTCTAACTTAAATATCCATGAAGAAGGAAATGACAGGTCAGTTGTTACAGGTAGTGAGCTAACCTCATTATAGTAGGGACAATTAGTTGATTCCTTCATGGAGGTGTATTTCTTCTCATCTCCCACCTCCACACACACTACAGGATCCATGTTGAGCCCCACCAGCTGCCGTGCTTCAATTACTGTGATGCTGACCTGGGGAGAAAAGAAAAAGAAACATATTGTTAGATTCATTCCCAAGGATCCATCATCTTCCTTCTAATTTCTCTCTACTCATTTTTTTCCTAAAAGGAGTTCCTAAAACCAGAAAGGCCTGTCAATCTGCAGCATCTTGAAAGCTTTCAGAGGTTGTAGGTGCTTCACCACTGGAGGTTTTTAAGAAAAGACTGGACACCCATCTGTCTGAAATGGTAAAGGGTCTCCTGCTTGAGCAGGAGTTGGACTAGAAGACCTCTAAAGTCCCTTTCAGCTCTATTCTGTTATTAAGGGTTATCTAGCAGCAGAATGGGGAATATAGCTGCTTCACATAATATAATAAGAGCCGTGGGGGCACAGTGGTTAGAGTACTGCAAGCTACTTCTGCTGATCACCGGCTGCCTGCAGTTTGACAGTTTGAATCTTACCAGCTCAAGGTTGACTCAGCCTTCCATCCTTCCAAGGTAAGAAAAATGAGGACCAAGATTGTTGGGGGCAATATGCTGACTCTGTAAACTTTTGTAAAACACTATGAAGCAGTATATATGCTATTGCCATTGCCATATACTATGTTAACCTAAATACTAAATACTATTTATTACACCCTCATACTATGTTAATTTGTGGTGACAAGTTTATGATTCAGAATATTCTTATAGAATAGAATAGAGTTGGAAGGGACCTTGAAGATCTTCTAGTCCAACCCCCTGCTTAGGCAGGAATACCCC